CTTCCTGTATTTGAGATATAAAATTACTAAGTTGAAACCAGTTAATAAAAAAGTAGTTTCTCGAATGAGTTAATAATTTTTTAACCACTTATATATAAAGTTTCCATTGATACTTTTAGTTGTACCCTTCGGTGTAAAATAACTAAGATAGATTTTTTTAATCTCACAATGTAATAAACTCTGTATGGCTCTAGTATATGTATTTGAAAAAGCGTTTATGATCCCGTCGACCAGAAAAAGTCTTAATAAAAATAAAAGTTTAATGTTTAGCTGGAAGGAAAAGTCGATTTTTCTCGTTTTCGGATGGTTGCAATTCGTCTAAGTACATTTTGTGTATAATTTTATTGTGGGACGTCAGGAATCATAATGCAATTTCGTTTCTACCTATTATTTTCTATTGTAGTCGGAACAATAGAATTGGACCAAATTTGAATGATCGGAGAAGGGAGGAAAAAAAAAACTTTAAAAAATGCAATTAAACTAAGACTCTAAGCATGAAATCTAGAAAAAAAATGTAAGAACATATATGTATTATATTATACTGTTTATCGGTATATTTCCTACATAAAGATAAGGTTTTTATACACTCAGAATGATTTCTCACGCTACTCATCTCGTCTCAATAATAATAATAAAAACAGACCCGTTGTTAAGATTAAAGTTAATAAAAACAATGTAAATAACACGCGATGTGAACATTGATAAATAAAAAAAGAACCCTCCTATTCATTATCGGAATCACCTGACTGGAACTACAATCTATGGCCATGTGCCAAATAATAATCTTAAGCAATTAACGTGGTTCCGTTTTTATTAACAATGAAACAATTCTTCAGATCCATTACAAATGTTTCTTTACCTCTCTCAAAGTGCAATTATCCGCCTTGAAAATGTGTATTTTCAATTAGTATAGTTATTTATAATCTCCATATTATATATTAGTTGATAATAGGACGTGAAGTAATTGAACTCTGTTATCTCTATAACATATTTTATTTGTTTAAAATTAGAATTTAGCAGCATTTGTATAACTGTGACTCCTATATATCAAACTAATAAAAAATGACGAGAAAAAAAGATTTAAAAATTTGACACTAAATTTGAGAAGACAAGTTGTGTTTTTAGCGCAGTTATAACTGTCACCGTTTAAAAATTGTCTTAAAATAAGGAAATATTATTAAGAAAGAATAAGGTAATGTAAGCATTTACATTAGTGTCAATGTAAGTAATCATCACTGTTACCGCCACTGGGTATAAGCACAAAGCCCAAAGTTCTTAATGATGCAATATGAATTCGTTTAGCTTTCTTCGTTAAATTTGAATTGTTTCTCTTCATTAAAACTATATCCCGAGACAATTGTTCAAATTTATGAGATATTGAGCATTAACAAAGCCCCTGTTTTGGCTTTGCTAATAAAGAGAAACAGTTCAGTTTTACGAAGAAAGCTAAACGAATTAACATTGCATCATGAACTTTGGGCTTTGTGCTTAGTGCTTTGTGGTTAGTTACATTGCCACTAATGTAAATGCTTACGTTAATGCCAATGTAAAGTTTTTAAGATTTTGAAAAATCGTTGCATATTTTAGAAAATAATAATAAAATTCGATAACTTTTGGAGAAAATAACTGGTAGCCTATAAAAAACAAATAAAATTAAAATATATTCAGCTAATACCACACATTTCTGGAACGTTCGAGAGTATCTCGATTATTTTGCGTCTTATCTCTTGTAATCAAACTTTAAATGAATGAATTTTTAAACATTTTTACGAGCTTATTTGGCATTTGTGCGCTATGATTATCGATTCAGACGTCCGGACATTTTGACCCATTTAGAAAGGTGGAGCTGCTTTAGATGCTCACTCACCTAGCATGACGACATTCATCAACTACTGCTTCGACTTTTCCAAAGTCAACTTACTTTTTGATTTTAACAGTTGGATTGAATCGATATATATTGGATTTTTGCTTCTTTATATATATCTTCGCCGTTCAAAAAAGGAGAGAACTTTCTGTGGCAGTTTTAATTTGGGTCATTCTTGTAATTCTATACTCGTCCATATGGGTTGTTTGTTTATAATCATTTTTCTCAGTGAAATTTATGTCTTTTCGGCTTCGAGACATTGTAGGAGTTTTATTAAATTACTCGAGACCTTGGGTAGTTTTTTTATTTCCGTTCGATCACATATTAATGTGGGAGGATAATAATACTTTCTTCGATATCGTACAAATTTAGCGGTTAATTTGTTGCCGGAGAACTAAATTAACTAATAAAAATTCTAGGGAAATATAATTCTACAATTATTCTATCCTAAATTGATCATTAAAGTTTCGATCGGCGCAGGCGTTATTGGATAAGTTCCATTTGTTCTCCATGTACGGAAATTAAAAGGTCGGAGAAACGACTAACGAACGTCACGTAAATCGGACAGTTTAAGGAAGTTTGAATCGCGCAGGCGTTCCGGTCACTAGGACACGGATAAGTCCACGATCGATACAGAGGGAGATGGTCCAACAATCGTCTATCAACGTCATGTTCAGGTCTTTTCTCTCGCACTGATTTCTTTTGTCACCAGTTGTTCCCTTCTCCACGAGTAGAGATTTTTGGCACGGACTATCAAACGGCGAGAACTGCCCGGTCGACACAGAAAATACAGTACATCCGGATTAATGCAGAGGCGGAAATGTAGTAACCGGTTCCATCCCGAATGGAATTTTTTACAAGTGCATTGTCGGATTCGAACAAGAAAATCAAATTCTATAACTTCATTTCCTACGAAGAGAGAGTGGGACTATTCTTATTCCATCCGCATTTCGATGCGGCATTAAGGACAAAATCATTTTAAAATACGATACAGTTTGTCTCGTTAGACCAGGTTTACATCCGAATCCCTGGCAAGCACGGATAAACTTATGCAAAAAAGTTATTGTAATCGAACAACTTCAACTTTTCCTTCCCCGGTTAGGAGTTAAGCAATCGACTTTCAAAAACGGTAAAGAATCACGTCTAGACTCTGCACGAACGTGAGGTCACGACGTAATACTTCACTCTAACCTCTTTGATAATGCCGTCTACATGACGAAACAGTCGTTTTTCTTATTAATAAGTCTCCAGAATCGGTAACGGTACGAGAGCGGCCATTCATCTATTCCATAAATAGCGGTCCAGTGCATTGGCAGATTGATGATTCGCAGAATCGTTCGAAGTACTCTTCACTAGAGTAAGCACGTTACACTAGGAAACACTTTAAATTTGAATGGCGATTAATCGATGCGGGAACAAAAACTGAATACTTTCGGGCCAGAAAAGATAATAAAATACCTTAAAACGACAGTCTTTCCCGGATATTTAAATCATTGGAATTGCTTTATTTAATTAAAGTAAAGATTACTTTCGCTTATTTATGAAATTTTCATTAAACTCTTGCCGAAATATATTATAAATAATGTAAATTTCCTTAGATTTATGATTCAATTTTCTTAGAAAATAGAAAGATCTGTCTCATTTGTTTACTTTACGATGCTAAAATTGTCTATCCCAACTTTTATATCCGTTCTTTCAGAAACAATTTTTTAAATGGCTTTTTTTCCGAAGGAGAAATTGATTCTTTACCAAAACTGCTAATTCCGTCGTAGTACAACTCGTTTTTAATCGTTTAAAAATGATATAATCGTTTGAATTACTAAAAATCGAATTGGCCAGTACTTAAATCCCAACTTTAGTTCGGCCATACTTTACTTCCACGAGCCATTATTGCATTAGCTCGAGGTTGATTCGTCTAATGCATTCTAAATGCACTTCCAGTCGGTCCATTATCATTGCCATTGCAATATTGAGGTAGGAAAATTGCATTTGGTGTAGACGGTTCTAGATTTTAATAGACGAATCACGTAAAAAAAGTTCGCGTGTCGACCTTAAAAAATTTCGTATCATCGCGAATTAAGTGACCATAAAAGAAAAGGTTTAAAAAGAAATCATAAAAGTTGTAAAACAATTTTCGGAAATGACGGAACGAAGCCAACTGTTACCGTGCTTTGTTTTCGATTGCTAATGATAAATTGCAAATTTTCTAATAGTAGTGGAAATGCTATTCAAAATGCTTCTCCATTATTTAAATTTCGAGTTTATATCGTCTTTTAAGGATTTATCCTTATTCTTTTAACTCTTTTCATCCGAAGTTTTAAGAACGTGTCTTATAACTTTAAAGTCTTAAAGGATTTTCCTTGATTTAGTTTAAATCCTTCGTTTTTTGATAAAAATCTGTTCCGAAAGCCTGCTCCTGCAATCAAACGGAAGAAAAAGGAAACACTCCTCCATCAAAACCAAGAAAAATAAAAAATGATATTGAATTCTCCAAATCGAGAATTTCTTTATTATTCTATTTCTTTGTAGAATATCAATTTCCAGATACTCTTTTTATATAATCTCCTCCATTAAAAAATAATTTTCTGTCATCAATTTCTTTTGGGAAACGATATGCTAAAAATAATATATTTCTCTCCCCTTCTGATGGTTCTGTTATCGTTGTAAAAAAATCTATGGAAGCAAATGCAATATAGCAAGAAAACTTAACAGAAGTGTTTGACCTCTCCGCCTAAATTTTCTATGCTATTCGTTTTTATAGTTTTTGAAAATGCGAATGTGATTTATTTAGTATAAAATTCTAAAATACTTTATGAACTCTCGAATCTCGGATGCAGAACCTACAAGTTCTGCATCAGAAGCGAACGTGTCGACCAAGTATAATGCTGTATGCACAAGTGATCGCAATTGATGGGATGTCGTGCAAAATTATAATTTAAAGGTTTCGGGAAGACGTCGAGAAATTGCGAATAATAGATTAGATGGGTTTCATATATTTATTTCTAGTTGTCACCGCGAGAAGACCAAATACTGGTTTGTCCGGCGACTCGGTCGACCGCATATTTTGTGTTTCTTTAACAGTTTGGCTCATAACTTGCCTATAATCGATTTACGTTTCTTACGTATTCTGTTTCAGAAAAAAATGCGGAGAAGCAGCAGGAATGGATAGAATTGATTGGATCGCTTAAAAGAAGAACCGTGATCATTTGGGACCAACAGGTAAAGTAAAATTGTTTTTGTTTGGTCGGGTGTTTCCGCGTCGAAATGGCAAGTGAATGTCCCGAAGGGGGTCAACTGCCACTCACCTATCCGTATAGGTTTGGGTGGGACGAGATTCGTGATCACGGAGGCGTCACGTTATTTCCTGAATATACCTGACGCCCACGGATAAAACCCCGCATTTCTTACAAGGTTACCGAGCGTCGGAAATGCCATGTTTTAACTATAGAAGATAGGGTAAGGTATCAATCTATCTCGCTAACGCGGTGAATTATAATCGATTACGCTTAACTGTCCGACGTTTTAGGGTCGGTTACGAGCTATCGATTATTTATTATTGTTCGAAGGTAGTCGGATAAAAATACATATAAGTCTATCGATCGGATTTACCCAAGCAATCAGTCAACGTTTTGGAAACACGATTTCGATTTGAAGGATTTCCACAGTTGCAATTCCGTTCGGAAACTTTCCTAATCTAAGAGAAGACATCTAAATCACTTTAGTAAAGGATGCATTGACGGAAGTCTTTGGCTCCGCTCTCTAATGCACAACTCCTGTTTCTGCCGTTGTGTTCCGTGGGAACGTGATAATTTTTTTATTATCCCAAAGCAAATAATTATTTGTGTACACGTCAGACACTATTCTAAAAATAACGTATTTTGCTATAGAATCGCCTCGTTATACTGCGATAAGATTAACGCGATAATTTTCTTGCCGGAAATTAACAAATCTGTTCGTTTTTCGTCGTTAAATATGTTTTTAATATTTGTTTTATTTAATAAGTGATTATAATTGCAAATATTTTAACAGAAATAAGTTATTTCGTTCATAAATCTGCTTATCGGATATAAAAATTCCACGGAAGATTTCGTCTCTGTTTAAAGAATTGCAGTTAATTCTAGAGGAGTTTATTCCGTAAGCGAATTTTACACAGTTCTCTGGATAAATGCCAATTGTTTGCATAAAAATTTCGCGAGATGTTTGGTGAACTTTAACCGTTTCTCTACACTTACTGCACCACTGGATTAAACGCAATGCCACCAAGTCGCCATGTATTTTATTTCCATTTTAAATACGAGTTTAACGAAGAATAGAGGACGAGGAGTAATTTCTCCACGCTAATGTTTTTGCCATTTTAACTGGTAATTTATTAAGAATGCATTTCTGTAGTTTTGTTTGACCGATTTTTTTTTGGCAAATGTTTCATTTCTCCTTAAAAAACTATTAAATTGAATATTATTTTTCTGGATTATTTTTGTACGAAGGTACTGCAATTAACTTCTTAGAATGATTTAAAATCTAAAAATTATATGTAATTTTGATAGATTTTATTTATTTTCAATTGCAGCGTTCTACAATCCCCCCCCCCTTCATTTGCTAGAAAAATGGTGGAACAAGCGATATATGGCGCAACAACCAAGTACTTAGAGAAGAAAATTAATTTTGAATGTTGTAATTAAATAAATGGACTGCGTGTGGATATTTTAATAATTTAGAACAGTTTTATTTATACAATCCTGTCGCAATAACTTTTTACCTTTTTCATTTTTTTTTTTACTTAACGAGATAAAATTCTAGTTTAAAACATTCGCATTAATAGCTAGAATGTTTCGTTACATTGAGATCCCGAATTTATGGATGCCAAAGATTTCGATAAATGCATAAATGAATAGTGGTTAGGATGAGTTTTCAGATAAAATGATTTTTTCATAAGACATGACAAATTAAAAGAAAACAAAAATACCTATGTATAGATTAAATCAATTTTACAGGACTGAATTGCTAATGAAAAAGCTATCGGTGATGTACTTTCTTATATTACAGTTTAATTAAAATTAATTGCAAGAAATTTTCTGGAAGTGATTAGGAATATATTTCAAAATATAATTTGAATTTTTTTAGTTTTTCCGTTGTTGTCAATAGTATTGACTTATACATAACATCATGCAGAATTTATAATATATAGCTGTGATTTTTACTATTATTTATTTTCATATTTAATAGAATTGAAATAAAAACAACTTTTTCTCTTATAGATTGCATCATGATGACACAAGTAGCTCGTCACTGCCTCCAACATCTCGTACTTTCTTTGTGGAGACGTAAAACGTTCCTCTTGGCTGCCGTTCTGGGAACGTCTTTGGTCATCGTCTGCCTTCAATATGGTTCTGTTGGTGAAAATGTTGTTCGGGGAGAGTTTGACAATCAATTTCCATTGGGTCTGAGTGGTCCCGGGACCAAAACTCACCATACACTGATTCCTAGAAGAAATTTGTCTGCGGTGGCTCATCCAAGTAACAAACAGGACGTTGGAGCTTTTCGTCGTGGCAGTGCAGAGATTAGAGAGGGGCATTTTGGCATGCCCCGTCGAGAAGAGGACGCCGAAGTCAAAAGAGAACCTCGTTATCGACCCGTTTACCATCGCGATTCCCAAGACTCTTACGTACGGAATCAGAATAATCTTCAACAGAATAACGTTGCGCAACATAATAATGTTGTGCAACAGAAAAGTCACTATCAGACATATGACGGTCAACTGGGAAGGCAACAGAGTAATCTCTACAGATCGCAAAGCAGAACATGGCAACAACAAGGCCTTAATCATCAACCTTATTATATTCCTCCCTTAAGATTAGTTCATATTGACTTGAAGGGTGCACCACCGAAAATAAGCTATTTTAAACAAATTTTTCCCATGCTGAAAGATGCAGGAGCTAATGGAATATTATTGGAATACGAAGATATGTTTCCATTTTGGGGACAGTTAGCCCCTGCGGCAGCTGGTAATCATTATACCAAAGACGACATTAAAACTCTTTTAAGTTATGCAAGTACCTATAATTTTGAAGTTATTCCATTAGTACAGACATTTGGGCATTTGGAATTTGTTTTAAAAATAAAGAATTTTCAACATTTGAGGGAAGTAGACGATTTTCCTCAAGCTCTGTGTCCATCCAAAAATAGTTCTTTTACTTTAGTCCAAACAATTATTGATCAAGTAATGTCACTTCATTCCAATTCTAAATGGCTTCATATAGGTTGTGATGAAGTATACCATCTTGGATACTGTCCGAAGTGTATGCGTCAAGATCGCGATAATCTTTTTCTTTCCCATGTTGAGCGAGTTGCAAGATATGTCAAGGAAAAACATAATATCATACCCATTATATGGGACGATATGCTTCGACAGATGACATCGGAAAAACTGAAAGAGTTTCAATTAGGAAATCTTGTCGAACCCATGGTATGGACTTACGTTAAAGATGTTTATCGCTTCATTCCCTATAATGTTTGGCTGATGTATAGTGAAGTGTTTCCATTTGTCTGGGCAGCTAGTGCTTTTAAGGGAGCTTTCGGTGAAACACTCACAATACCAAATGTTAAAATGCATTTAGAAAACAATGAAGCTTGGTTAGAAGTTATGGAAGAACAACAACGCAAATTCACTTCCTTCCGTGGAATTGCCATCACCGGATGGCAAAGATACGATCATCTTGCCACATTGTGTGAACTCTTACCAGCAAGTATGCCCTCTCTGATTCTAAATCTTCTTACAGTCAGCCATGGATATTTCAGTCATCAGTTGATACCAAAATTTCAACAAATTCTTCAATGTACCATTCACTCCAGAAGTCATCTCGATTTAGACAGTGATCCTTATCTCTGGCAAAAAGCAGCCAGCTGTTTCTTTCCAGGTTCTGCAGTCTTCAGACTCACTCAGCATCACAGCGAAGCTATCAAGAGAGTCACCGACTATCTTTACGACGTCACCATTCACAAGGCATGGTTAACAGAATATAACGTACGACACAACATCAGCAGTCCAATGAGAGTCGACGAGGGTCTCACAGACTATTCTTCCATTTATTATCCTCTAACTTCACTGGTAAGAACAGCACGCGATGCGTTACGTGAAGTTTTCGACGAATATACCGTGGCCGAATGGATAGAACAAAATATTTATCCATACATAACTAAAATGGAAAAGGTTTGGAAAGAGGGAATGGATTTAAAGAAACAAAAAACGTGGCCCGTCAGACCGCTTCCGCCATTAGAAGAGTTAAAAAAATACTCCGTTGGTTTGTTAGAATCTAACGATGAAAACAAAGTATGATTTTATAACATCCCGTTGGATTTATGTAAAAAAAAAAAAAAAATTAAAAGCCGGTGCTAAATCAATGTACATGATTTAACTTTGCTTGTCATGTAGCATTAACTAATATAGAGTAAATGCTATAAGGAAGAAAATAACCAACTGACAAGTATGAACTGTTGTTGACAAATATTTGTCAGTAACAGTAGTAGCACAATTAATGTGCAACTGTAATTATTGTATATGTAGACTAAGTTTTTCTAACAATGTATTTTGCAGTTTATATTATTTAGAAATATTTCTTCTAGTCACTTTTTTCTAGTTTTCCTGTTAAACCAGTTTCTGCATAAATGGTTTTACTGAATTATTAAATATATTCAAAAACAAAGTAAAAATTGGAAACAAATTCTTCTTTGGGATACTGACAGTGTTAACCGTTGAAAAAATGAATTAAAAAGTAGTTAAAAAAATAAATTTTTAAAAAATATTTTGCATAAAGATGCAAGAACATTTTTATAATTGGGGAAAATTTAAAAAAAAAGTTTATTATAATCTTGAACGTTAATCTAAAATACTATTTTTCAGTTAAAACATTTTGTAGACTGCTGTGAGCAGGAGATAATACATTTTTTTGCATATTGTATTTACTAAAGATGTAAAATTCAAAAGTCATATTTATTGTAAGAGACTATGCACTGTGATCAAAACAAAAAAAAAATATAAAAAAAAGGTATTTAACAGTCTTAAGAAACTATAGATTTAAATAATAATAAAACAGCCTTTAAAAAAATGAGAGGGAAACCATAACCGATAGAGGCTGAGAGATATTTGTTGATCTAATTAAGGATCTTATTATTATATACCTTACAGGTATGGAAAGTGCTGTCCAAAATATTGATGTTTTGTCTACAGTAATATGCAATGTTCATTGTTTATTTCAAATTTAAAAACAAAAAAAAATTATTTGTATTTTATTTCATATCAGTGTAATTTAGCACTGGATCATTCTAGAAATCCCTCTGATGTTTTCCCCTAAGTCTTGATTCTAAATCTAATAAAAGTGTCTAAAAATATTTGATTTATTTTACTTTCAATATTAAAATTTTAAGTATTAAATATACACAATTATTGAATTAAAGTGATTTACATTATATATATATATTTATATATCATTTTAATTCAATAATTTCTGTTACAACTTACAAAAAGATTATCAAAGAAAATTGTATAATTCTGATTGCATACAATAGTATGCAGTCAATATCATTAATGTATATTCAATAATACATACTAAGACGTGCATAAATATGCTTTTAAGTTACACTTATTCTTTTACAAATATTTTTTAATGCATTTAGAGGCATTATTATTATTTAGCAAGTAAATCAATATTTCATAAAATATAATTCAATATCAAAGACCTATAAAACTCTTAATATAATTAATAAGTCCTCCTATAAATTGAATTATCAGTGTGATCATGTTTTACACATGATTTATACACGAATTCATCTTTTTGTGAATGGCAAATGGTTAGGTTAATACACAAGCTGATCATTTTTATTGTGAAATTCTCTGTATAATAAAAAGTAAAATGTTTTGAGTACATTTTAGCATTCTTCTTCTAATTTGTACAGGTGTCTAACCTGTACAAATATTTATTAATGTCTAGAATATTATCTGAGGCTACTTGGGATGGAGCACAAATTTATTTTACGCAGTACAAAACATCTTGCTTAAAACAAGACTAAATTTATATTTTAGAATATAGAATACGGTATAAAGTAATTTTTAGTTAATTTAATCATGTTCTTTTTTGGCATAATAATCTGATAGGTTTCCTTTTACGTTTTTTTTTTTTTTTATGAATTCTGCTTATGAATTACTAAAATGAACGTGGAGAATTTTCAAACGGTCAAAAGAATATATGATGAAATATATTTGTTCTTCAAAACCGCATTGCGGTTTTGAAGAACTAATATAAAGATACAACACGGTTTCGAAATATGAAAGAAATATATTTGATTTTGTTCATTTTTCAAAAAGTATATAACGATTTTTAAATGACTTTTTATCCAAGAAAACATAGAAAAGATAACTTGATATGGCATTAATTATAAAGAGAAATTTATGGCATTTCCATTTTATTAAAAATTTGACTGTTCATAATTCTATACTGTATTATTATTTTTTTCTATATTAAGGTAAAGCAGTTTTAAAGTAAATTTTTGTATTCTTTTCTATATTCATACAAAGTACTGTACGTTTTCATGTTTATCACTAACAGATACATAGTATTACCCAGGGTAAAAATTAACCAAACTTTTAATATGGTTTTCCACTAGTTAAAAAAGAATACAGAATTATTACTCAATACTTATCAATATATAGTAACTATAAGAGATTCTCAGATACATGAACAATATATATCTTAATCAGTAATGATTAACATTGTTATTAAACATCTCTATATACACAGCATTGAACGTCTTTTGAACAAAAAGATAATGTGAACTTCCAACTCTTGAACATTGTTGTTCGTAGAGAAAGCAGAACGCCTCCAGTCGTAAGATAGCAGGTAAATCTTTGTCCGTGAGACATGTTTGAGTTTTGCCACGTCCATTAAGAAAAAACAAAACTTAAATGCTATCAAACGATATGAGGAGGGCGTGGCTTAAAAATATCTCCTTTGCAATAACCAGTGGGAGTTGCAAGGAAGATGTTGTCCAGCTGAGACTTTATTACACACAACAACAATTACAGTATTTATTGTGGCATCGTCACAATGCTGGGCTGCAATTTTTAATCATATTTTTAATTTATTTCATTTAAAATATATGCTCTCCACCTCAAATCAGTAGTGTCTTGGCCCTGTACATCACACTTTTCCATTAGCAATCGAATCATGCTGGTCATCTATAGCGAGGTTGAGGCCGAAGTTTTAAACGCGAAAACGTGTACGTCGGACGTTCAGCGCCGCTTTCGTGTAAGTCTAGAAGTTTGACAATGCTGTTTGGAATGTCGAGCATGATTCCACTGACTATCCAAACACCATTGTCAAACTTATAGGCTTACAGGAAAGCGGCGCTGAACGTCCGACGTACACGTTTTCCGTTTAAAACTTCGGCCTCAACCTCGCTATTAACTGTTTTCACGAAAAAAGTTTTGAATTGACATAACGTGACTTCCGGCCTGCACCGGATGTTCATATATAGTTAATTAGGGCCTCCTACCCCTAAGATTTCCATATTTGGTCTTGGATTTCCATCTATCTAACTCCGTTCTCGAGATTAAGGAAAGACAGACAGAGGACAGTGGAAATTGATAGGTTCCAATTACGACAGTCTTGAGACAACAACACTGCTATTTATCAGTAATTAATAGCTGAATATAATAATTACTATAATTGGAAAAAACGTCAACAGCTTGCAATACGTCTGAATTAACAAGGGTCAAGTTATCTCTCCATTTACCGTCGTTATCGTTTCTCATCCATAGTATTACTATACTAATCTTTCGGAGATCTGAGATATTAATAATGTGAAAAATGTACGTTATCAGTTTAGTCTCTACGGGGGGGGCGCCGCAATGAGATCTCGCACCATCTTAAAACCTGACTAGGGCCGCTACTGCTTAGAGAAGCTGGCCATTCTGGACTGCGAGGTTCTGTCTCATCCAACTTACAATCGAGTCTTGGCGACAACTGACTACCATGTATTTCACGCCCTGAACAACTATATTGCCAATATACAGTTCAATAACAATACCCATATGAGTATGACGCTCGAGACATTCTTCAAAAAAAATTTCCAGTCACTCTTGCTCACGGGATTGATTTTGATGGTGATTACTTACAAGTCAGAAAGTGTAATCGTTATTACTTGTCAATAAGGATTTTTTCATATTTCACCTTTACAACCTGATAGCTGTTTCTTATATTAGGAACACCGGAAAATAATTTTACGAAAAAAGTTTGTATGAATTACTCAAGATAGTGGCGTAGTGTAGTGGGGGCGGCGAAATTTCACAATAAATAATAATATCTTGTAAAAAGTTTAACCCATAGTCTCGTCGCACCTACGATTCGGACCGATTGAAATGAGCACGGAATAGTCCGGGAATACACTTACTGTCCGGCTGAACTGTTAATTTCACTCCTGTGAGCACAGCCTGTCGACCTTTTATTTATTTATTTATTTTTTCTTTGCTTGTACGATTCATTTGGCAAGGAAATTTTCATTACTAGTTCTTCTGTTACGAAACTGAATTTTAGTATTTTAAATTGAGATACCTAAATAACGGGACGGCGAAATTTTCCTCCGCCCCGGGCGGCTGACACCCACACACCCACGCTACTCCGCTGACTCAAGAGCTATTGAAATTTATTTATAAGATTTATAGTATACAGATTATGTTATTCTGATATTGGTAATAATTTTAATATGAATACCAATCGGTATTCATATTAACTACTGTAATGTTAATTAATATATCATTTACAACTGAAATAAAGTCTGAATTTTAGAATCTTCCTGTCCTTTGTTAAGAGAGGTCGAGAGAAAGGGAGTTAAAAATATAATTAATTATAAATGTACTGTACACTTGAAATTTATATAAATTGATTCGTCTTTAATTAAAAGTTGTAGTAATCATTTTTACCTGAATTTTTTCAGAATTTTATAGATCTTTATTATCGCACTGTTAACAAGTTTGGCCAAGCCCACTTGGGACAGCCAGATAGTGAGGGCACCGAACATGGGCGTCAGCAGAAAATTTTTCGGGGGGCAGAGCTTGAAGACAAATCTTCAAAGACAATGTACTTGTATAACCAAAAAATTAATTTTTTGGTTATACAAGTACAGTACAGTAGACCCCCTATAACGCGGTAGATACGTTCCTCGTTATACGAATTTCGCGTTGTAGGAATCCTTAAATACACGAGCCAATCGCAGCCCGACACGCGTGAAGTTTAGGGACTACGGCTGTTTGAAAGGTTTTCGTCCATAAAATTAATCGATTCTAGACTAATTCTACTTAACATTTCCAAAACACGTATAATTTTTTGGGAATAATCCGTATAAAATATGCTATAAACAAAAAATTGTAGGATTACTTACCGAGTGTGCACCGTTCGACGTCGCCACTGCTTAAGCTTGTTTTTGTCGCGGAGCAGCGCACCAAACGGCAGCCGCGATTTCTGATGTTATTTTTCTGCGAAAACTTCGTTGAACTTTGGAGATATCATTAATAGAAATAATTTTTATGGCCGTTGAATAAGAAATGTTTCTTTCACAAGAAATATATAAAATTACAGTGCTGTATTAGACTTACGGTACCTAATTTACATACTGTACAGACGATAGTAAACTCAATTTACCCGCCTAAACTCTAAGTAGCGTGGCGCTGGACGGCGGAAAGTAGTTCGGCTGCTCGTCCGCGATGACGTTTTACCGCGTTTTACGCGTCCCTTTTAGCTTCTTTAAGCCGGATGCACACATGCGGCGCGGCAAGGAAAAGCGGTGACGCAAACGCATCTTCGCCGCGCGGCAGCACAACCACACAAGCGGCAATCCGCTTACATTTCGGCGCATGCGTTCAGTATTCAAGATGGCGAACGATATCCACGTGTTTACACACTGTCCCTATCCACGTGTTTACAAATTTTGTTTTGTATGACTCGCTTTATTTAGCTAAAAGATTTTGTCGAAGATTTGAATTAGAGATACTTTTTTGGATCGAGAAAGAACTGGTGTACAAAATAGACTTATTCGTGGATCAAGATCTCTCGATAAAGAATACTATTTCGAGTAAGATTCGGTTGTTTTGTTCTTTGAATTAAATTATATATGATTATTTGTGTAGAATTTGTTTTAAATTTGTTATCCTTTCCTCTTTATTCTGATTTTAATTATCTCGGTTAACCGCCTCGAACTTTCCGCCATTAAAACACCACGTGATTGTATTTTCTCACGTGACTACGAGACAAACTGTTATTGGCTGATAGAAACGCGTCTTGGCGGCGTTGCCGCAAAAGATAGAATTCAACCAACTTTTGCGGCACGAGAAAAGCGGC